CCACAACAGACTAAATCAACACATGCACAAAAAACTGAAGGTTGGGTGTAGCGAAATGTGCCCTTGTGGCAAGGCCCAGGAAAACACAGAGCACGTACTCCAGGATTGTACTCTGTATAGCCAGGCAAGAGGCAGACACTGGCCCCAGCCCACCCCACTCAGGGAAAAATTATATGGGACACCTGACAAACTGGAAACCACAGTCCGGTTTGTCCATGAAGTTGGACTTGTTGTCTAATTCCTCCACCATATTTAAAAATTAAGAACGAAGAAGAAGAAGAAGAAGATGTCTACTTATAACGTGCACTAACGTAATTGATAGTAAATTAATATGTCACTTTTAATTAATTATTTTCCTATACATATGTTTTAGTAATTAATTTGTGTGAAAGGGGGCGTTTTAATAAGTTTTGCCTAGGGCGCTAAATAACTTGGCGCCGGCACTGGCTGTATAGGTTGTTTGTTTTTTGTTGTAAAGTCTGCTTCTGATCTGGATTTATGTTTTAAAAGCTATCTCCAGGCATCTCTTCGGGGGCGCTCCGCCCCCCCCCCCCCTCCCGAAAAAAAAATCTACCGCCCCCCCCCCCCCACGAACGAAATGAAATTTATATAGAAAATATATACTGTTAACCGTGCCCCCCCCCCCCGAAGAAGGTCTACCCCACCCCCCCCCGAAAAATTTCAAGCCCCCCCCCCCCCTCCGGAGAAAGAAGTCTGGAAGAAATACTGCTTGGTTGGAACATATAAGCCGTGTTTTGTGATGTGAGTGTGACGTGTGTATCTGATACCCTGGTCATATATTGTGAAGATTGTCTGGAAATCGTATTTCTCAATAATCAGTCGTATACTGCGTACGCCGCTGATAGTGATTTAGGTCTAGAGTCCTAGATGGGAATAGAACACGAGATCTATTTACCATAACCAGAGCTTCTTCTAGGCATCTCTAAGAAGTCTACTGCAACCCCCCCCCCCCCCCCCCCGCCGAACGAAATGGAACGGAAAATTTTGTGCCCCCCCCCCCCCTCGATAATATCAAGTGCCCCCCTCCGGAGAGAAGTCTGGAAGAAACAAACAATGACCATAACATTCCTAAAAAAAATATTTAAAATCAATACACAATTTTTACTGTGCTAAAATGTATTATTGAACTCTTCTTTTGTATAAGTGAACTCGAATAATTAAATTATAAAAAATTCCTTTCGTTACAGGTATTATCTAGCCGCCACCCTGAACTTAACGGAAGCTCAGGTCAAGGTGTGGTTCCAAAACAGGCGCATCAAATGGCGGAAGCAGCACCTGGAGCTGCAGCATGCTAGGCTGGCACAGTGCGACCTCTACAAGGATCTGGACGAGGAGACCGACGATACAGACACAGAGGAGAAACACGGAAGTGACGTCAGGAGGCCTGACATTCACACTGATACATCAAATGGTGAAGCCAGTTTTAGCAGTTGATGATTCAAACCAACGATTCATCAAATTGTGAAGCCAGTTTCAGCAGTTGATTTTTTTTAACCAACGACACATCAAATTGTGAAGCCAGTTTTAGCAGTTGATGGTTCAAATCAAAGCAACGATTCATCAAGTTGTGAAGCCAGTTATAGCAGTTGATTTTTTAAACCAACGCCACATTTAACGGTGAAGCAGTTTTAACCGTTGAATTTTTTAAACCAATGATAACATTGATATCTCGTCAAACGATGAAGCCAGTTTTAGCAGTTGTTTTAAAATTTAAAAACATATTTATAAATTTCATTACTGCATTGGGCGGACATTGCTTGCTGAGAAAAAAAAATTGTCGCAGTTCACTTAAATGTAAGGGTTTGAGCAGAATAAAACAAACAATAATCATCAATCCTAATTTTCACGCAGCCAATTATGCGCACTCTAATATAAAGCAAAAGGACAATTGCGAAATATAAACATTGTTATAAAGGACACAAAGCCTACTTTGTATATTTATTACTATTATTTTTAAATTATATTCCAAATGTATGTAACATTGTAATATTTAAAAAAACACAGCAACATTTTACATTGGACAAAATTATAACAAAGATGTGATAGACGTCTTATAAGCGAATTAGATATGTTGTGTTCTAGAGTTCATAGGTCAAATGTAAGTAAAAACGCATTTGTAGTAAAATAGCACACTTGCATTATTTGTAGATATCGGCTATTACTTACTGAAATGCCTGTACTGTTTCTTTATAGAAGAAAAGAATAAAAACATTGATTTCATACTATTCTTGTGATTTATTTAGTAAGAAGTTGAACTTTGTGTTGTTTGAAGGTTACGTGTGTGTTCATTAGTAAAGTAAATAAAGTTCTCTTTCAAACCTGATGGTCAATGGGGCAAGTGAAGTAGAGTTCACCTGTTTCTGTGACCTCGGCATATGAAAGGGTAGTGTGGCAGCACTACACCCAGCCAACTTTACTTTCCCTATCGTGAGTTAGGTACCCATCAGAGTTGGGTGGATTCAGGGACGTTCTAATAACATGAACCCGGATTCGAACTCGAGACTTTAAGGTTAGCAGTCTAGTCCTCTACGTTAGGCCACTCAGTGTACATGGTCAGGTCAGTGTCTCTAGAAACTTGTTTTGTTTTGTGATTCGATAGTAGATGAGAGACTGGTGGAGCGTAGTGGAGAGACTGGTGGAGCGTAGTGGACCTAGTGGTGGAGTGTAGTGGTGAGTGGTGGAGTGGTTGGTGGAGCGTAGTGGAGAGACTGGTGGAGAGAGTGGAGAGACTGGTGGAGAGAGTGGAGAGACTGGTAGAAAGGCTGGTGGAGCGTAGTGGACCTAGTGGTGGAGCGTAGTGGAGAGACTGGTGGAGAGAGTGGAGAGACTGGTGGAGAGAGTGGAGAGACTGGTAGAAAGGCTGGTGGAGCGTAGTGGACCTAGTGGTGGAGCGTAGTGGAGAGACTGGTGGAGAGAGTGGAGAGACTGGTGGAAAAAGTGGAGAGACTAGTGGAGCGTAGTGGAAAGTGGTGGAGCGGCTGGTGGAAAAGTTTTATATGGGTTTGGTAGGCAGTGTTATATGACAATCTTAAGACATCAGTAAGACGTTGTCAGGGTTACTTTTAGACACTTTTCTCCTTGCATGTGGGGGGGGGGGGAGTATCTACAATTTTCGAGGGCGGACAGTAATTAAAGTATATTTTCTATGAAAATTGTATTTGATTTCTATTTTGTCAGGGGAACGGGGGGAGAGGTGCAGTGACAATAGTGTAACTTGTCACCTTTTAATATTGATCAACAACTGGCGTAAACAGCACCCTAAAACAACACGTTCATTAATTTAGAGTAATCTGCATACAGTAATTGTTGTTCCACGCCACTTCATCACTTCCAGCTCTATTGTAATCAGCGATGATTGGATAATCCATGTGTAATTAATTACCGTCTCGCGCGATCTGCGGTTTCTGGGCCCTTGAGTAGGAAAATATGGTCATTACGGTTTGCCGGTAAAAGGATGTTTTCCTCTATTAATGAAGCGAGGAATCCATCGGTTTTTCTGGTACACTTCAATGCTTTGGTGGGCTTGTTCGGGACCGGTCCTGGTTATTAGAATACGAGCTCAGTCCTCCTTTCCCCACCTCCCCCTCACCCCGTTGCCCTGACGATGCGGGCAAGGCGTGGGTGACACCCCAAAGGAATCTATAGATCACGCTTGTCAGTCAATTCCAAACCCGCAAACTCATTTGCATACACGTGCTCGTCGGACGGGAAGTGGGAGGGACTTTTGACAGGGAGAGCGTGCCAGTGCGTGCTGCCTCGCTTTGGAAATGAAAACCGCTCCTAGCCACGGGATAGATGTCAAAGGTGAAGGTCTCACAGTGTTAACGCCGGTATGGTTTTTTTTTATTGAGGAGATCAATTGTGGGGAAAATTTGCGGGCGTGAATGCCCTCCCCTTCCGGAATCTTGTGTGTCTGTGTAACCATGGTAACGAGAATAGTGCCACGAGGGTCAAACGTTGAGGGGAAAGAGGCAGTATGTTTCCCATCTTGAAAGTAATAAGGCCTGATTGATGGCCTAATAATGTCCACTTCACTAATTAACCCAGTGGAAGCTAAAAAAAAACGAGCGTGGTTTGGCCATGTTTCTGATTTTCTCTTGCACGAGGAGATTGCACGAGTGTAAAGCCGACACATTTATCTTCTGCTTCACGTCTGCTGCTAGATGGAGCAACACGTCATTACTCGGCTGGAAGGCAGTTACACTTTTTTATACTTCATGATACAAGTAGGCTGGAGGCTTTACACTTTTTATACTTCATCATATACGTTGATATAAGTAGGTTGGAGGTGACACAAGCAGTGTTTCTTCCAGACTTTTTTCTCCGGGGGGGGGGGGGGAAGGGGCACTTGAAATTTTCGGGGGGGGGGCGGTAGACTATCTTCGGGGGGGGGGCGGACACTGTTAAAAGTATATATTTTCAATAAAAATTATATAAATTTCATTTCGTTTGGGGGGGGGGGGTGCGATAGAATTTTTTCGGGGAGGGACAAAGCCCCACCCCCCCCCCCCCCCGAAGAGATGCCTGGAAGAAACTCTGGATACAAGTAGGCTGGGTGGGGGCTTTACACTTTTTATACTTTATGATATAAGTAGGCTGGGGACTTAAGATTTTTTTTTTATACTTCATCATATAAGTAGGCTGGAGAGCAGTTACACTTTTTTATACTTCATGATCAACGTTCCCTCTAAGGGGAAACAGCTAGTGCACAACGAGTATTTTGTTTGCGCTATTTATTGTCCCTCACTCACCACCCCACCAACCAGTTTATTATTGGACCATTGGGTAGATGGAGTAGAGTTCATCTGTTTCTTTACCACAACAAATGTAGTAGTGTGGCCAGCACTATGAATGAGAAGGAAGTGGAGATGTGTGTGTGAGGTGGGGAGATGTGTTGGGTAGGAAAAAAGATGATACTGATTCAAACATTCAAGTATATGCATACATTTATCTTAAAAAACAAAATGTTTGTAACATACATGTTTAATGTTCATTCATACAATTTTTTTAACAAAAGAGTAAAATTTGTCTTGCAGTAACAATATTTGATTTTTTACATCATTCCAGTCAGTAATTAAGAACCAGAGTTTATAGTAAAACATTGACAGTGATAAAATGTAACAAAAAGGGAGTATTGAAAACTAAATAAAAAATATCATAGAAAACAAATAGGCTTGTTTATCCCCAAGTGATCTAGCCTTTACCTCTCTGCTCAAGCTCAAATAATACAGCTCTGTTATATAGGCTACACCTATTTTATATGCACCAACTTACTGGTAGTGGATTGGTGAAGAATAATTTAAACTAAAATCAATACTAGGAAGAAATTAAATGTTTTGACAGACCTTGTAAAAATATAAATATCAGTTAATAGAACAATAAAATTGGAAAAATAAAATAATTTTTTTTTTAAAAAGACAGTTATCAAAAGAATAAAATAATTTTTTTTGACTTTCATCGTAGTAAAAATTAAATGACATTTATGAAATCATTTAAATACATTTTTGACCATGTTTATAGAAAAAATAAAATGACAGTTCTTAAAACAATTAAATAAATCTTTAAGCATAAATGTAATTGACAGTTATTAAAACAATTTTTAAAAATGTTTAAATATTGTCAATATATTATAGTAACCACATCAGTTTTGTAGATAAAAATTATAAAAAAGAAACCACTGACATTTCAACAAATAAATGATGTAAGTAATTTTAAAATTTTTGAAAGAGATCTTCAAGGGAATAACAGCATAAAACAGCTGCTAACATTGACTACTCTGTATTTAATGCTGATTAACTAATTATACAAAATTGACAACTTTTAGAACTAATTAGTTATAATAAATGTGTTTACCATTTATGTTAGATTAGTAATGATCTTAATTTGAAAGCACTTGCAGATTTTTCAGTAAGATAAAAAAAAAAAGTTATGCTATTTAGTTGACAGAGTTATGTAATTTTTGTGAGAGCTGTTAAAACGATAGCCTATTCTACAAGCCGTCATATTACTTACTAACCCTGTCTGTTTTTGCTACTTTGAAGAATGATGTGATAGTTGGTTGAGCAAGGTTTACATCAGCTTTCCTTTTATTACCTGAAAAATAGTAGTTGATTGACTCATGAAGATCAATGAAATTTTATTTTTCAGTGTGAAAAGTTCATGAAATGTTAAATATTGTAATTAGGTTGTAACAAATGAACAAAAAAAATTGTTGACCTCTAGATGTGAACTGTTGAACCAGATCTGGGTAGCTGGACTTGAAGACATCAGCAGGAACCTGGACCTCACAGCTTGCATCAATACCCAAAGATGGATCCATACCTACAGAATGACACGCTTCTTCATAAAATATTTCAGTAATGAACTAATTTTTTTTTCTTTAACACTGCAATATTCCATACTATACTTGAGACATAAATGTTGCGTTAAACAATTTTTAGAAACAAAAACAAAAAACTACCTTCAATTTGCCACTCAGTCAGGTAACACTGCTCAAAGTTATGTCTTTGGCTTTTTAAAATACTGAAACAAAAGATTCATAATTTTTTTTAAGCACTTTAAAAAAAAAAGCACAAGAGCTGTCTTTTTTTGTTACTTATATCAGGAATATATGAATGGTTTGCATATTGCACTTTAAAATACCACCAAATAATAATAGTTCAAAATACATATATTTTTTAAAAATTAATAACGATAAAATAGACAAGAGTTAATGATTTTTATTTACCCAGGTGAGGAATGTATGAATGATTTACCTGGTTGGTTTGATTTGATAAGCCGTTGGTACACCATACAAGTTCATGTTGACAAAAGTATTTTTAAGATACTCCACTGTCTTACAATGCGCTATCTTGACATTTTGGTGAAGTATATCACAAGCCTTTGAGATGTTGGGGGCACTCAGCTGTGTGTTCAAGTCAGGGGGAAGCACTGCGGGCTCCAGAAATTCCCTGATGACCTATGAAAGTTTTATATATAGTTATATATTCTGAGAACCATTTTATTATTTCATGTTTAAGAAAACTGTACTGACAGTACCAAAAATTTAATGTGTGCATCAAGAGAAGCTTTATAAAATCTCCATAAATTATTGATCTGCCACACATCAGCATAAATCTGTCTTCTATAGATATTACTCCCCACCAAGTTCACAAGATATGTATATTGAGTTGACAAGGACCAGTCTCTGTAACCCTTGTGGGATTGTTTGGTTAGCACAATACAAAGCTCACAAACCTACCCTGACTCAGATATGAGACCCATCAGAAATGGGTAGACACAGATGAAAATGTATCTACCAGTTTCTCCTTGTTTAAGACCGGAGCACAGGTTACTGATTATCATATACATTATTTAAAGTTATCAGAAAAAAGGGTAACGGAAAAATGTGCATCACATAATTGTGCATAAAAAAAGTGTGCATGTAATTTTTTTTTTAAATTGATAAATCATTAGACATGAGTAAAAAATGACCATTTTACAATGTAGCATAATTAAAACATCTTTTCACAAAATATGACCAAGTGAAATTGTATTTGTTTTTCTGTTTGCACAATGTTAGTTATGGGCATTTTTTCTTTGCATTTTTTTTTCTAGTCACCATTTTTTTCTCAATACCTTTGAATGGCAGCAAACATATAGATAAATGATAAACAGAGGATTGAGTTAAGCTGAAAATACCACAGCATGGATTACCTCCTCCTCAGGGAACTCAGGATTACTCTTCAATGCTGCCTGCCGTATTTTCAGCTCTGTTCTGTATGGCTTGATCCTGGACTCTGCAGCATGGTAGCTACACGTACATCTATCACAAGCTTCTTGTGAATCAGGTGTTTGGGTGCAGCTCCTAAAGGTTTTACACTGGATGCAGCCGGATGATTTGTGGAGCTGCTTTGTCCCTGTAGTACAAAATAGAGAACTGCCTCATTATTTGAATTCAGTCATAATTAATTAGGTAAATTGTGACGGAGTGGGCTAAATCATCTTACTAATTTGGGCAGTTTTGATATGTTATCTTTTACAATATATTTTTTAATACAGCTATGGAGTCACAAAAGAAGCTTTATAATCACAGGGTAATATCAACACAAGTTTTAACAGGGTAGATAACTTTTGCTTGACAAATTTATGAAATCAACATATTCAATTCTATCTGCATATTAATTACATTACATTAACTGTAAAAATTACCTTCATGACTGCAGTATGTGCAATGTTTTGATTTAGAAAGTTCCAACCAGTTGGTCTGTAGTTCTGTTAGAGACATGAGATCTTCATTGGTTTTCCAGGACTTCAATCTTTAACATCAAGTAAAAAAAAAAAATTGTAATTAATATATTGAATTGAATCGTTTTTTCTCATTTTACAAAAAAAAAACTTTTGCTCAATGTCAAATATAAGTAATTCTGAATTTAATATTAGTAAAAAATAAAAATAATTCTAATAATAGCAAATAGATATAAAACTTTTTCAATTTTTTGTTTACTTAAATGTTTAAAACAACTAAAACTAATTACAAAAAAAAAATAACAAAAATGTTGTAAATGCACCTTTCTAAAGCATCTTCCACTAGATTTTGTTTGAACTCTTTCAACATCTCCATGAACTTCTTCTCTCCAACATCTTGAACCCCTTCACAGAAATCCCCTTTGCTGAGCAGAGCAAACACAACCAAGTCCCTTTGTGTCAGTCCAAGCTCAGATGTTATGTCTGACATCACATATTTCTCTGTAGGCTCACCCTAGGATGGCAAACAGGGTGTAAACTATTTAACACAAAAATTGTGTCATTACATCTTTAGTCATGTTACACTTTATATATTTATAAAAGTTACAGCACTCATATGTTATTAATAATGAAACAAATAATATAATTCTCAATATAAATATAATCTTAAAAGTAAAGAGGATTTTTCCGCCATTTAGAATTATGTACACAATTAAAAAATGTGATAGAATTATAGCTAAAAAACACTATTTTTTAAAAAAAAAATACCAAAATTATGTTTTGTACTAAAAATAGTACTAAAATGTATTCAAACAGCCCAACAGAAATTTACTTGCTTTAATTTTGAATTGCTATAATAAATATTTGTTCTAGAGCTATTTTAGTATCTAATTAGTGCAAAATAACCAACTGAAATATGGGTCAAAGAAACAAGGATTAACAAAAGGAATACAAATTCAGCCTCAACACACTATTTAAAACACTTACCATTATTATTGGTAATCTACCAAAACAAAATATACAAAAATAGCTGAATATTTAAAAGAGAAGCAAATAGTTATTTACTAGTGACAAACAGTTTTAAAAAAAGAGATGCTATGTTGATATTACTGGAAAAATAATAATTCATTACTCAAGTTGTTTGACACACCAAAAAATATATCAACAGGTTGCACACACATTCGGCCACTCCATCCCCACCCATTATACAACATTTCTCTCACTGATAAAAATAATGTATTAAGAAAAGTGAATCAGACTATTGACAAAAACACCAGGCATATAAAATTATTTTACAAGCTCACATGTCTTTTTTTTTCAAAGCGAGAGAAAAATATATCAACTTAGTAAATAAAAATGTTTCATGTGTTGTGCATCACAGATGCTTGTAACTAACTAGCTTTTAAAGGCCAGACTCTTGTGTAATATTAGCATTCATGTAACCAATGTGATAATGTCTTAATGATAAGCATATGCACCATCATCCAATAAATGGGCTGCAGTAGTTGGTTTTAATATTAGACACATTGTGTTGCAAGAATGAATGAAAACTTACTAATAACCTACCTTTTTGTAAGATGATGCCCCTTTGAAGATGGTTTGTGCACCATAAACAAAGACATCACCATCATCTGTCAATACACCATCAACAATCTGCAAATTAATGTAATTATTTTCAGAATGAAAATGGTAAGCAACGATTTAAAATTTGGTATTGTTCCACCTAACAATCACACTTTAAATGAACAAAATTTTTAATTTATTTTAGTTATTCCCTTATACATATTAAGTCAAATGTCGTAATTAAAATGTCAATATTTTTGGTATGTAAGACTGGGTGTATCAGACAAAAACAACCCCCGCCCCTCCACCACCAATTTTTCTAGTTAAAATATAGTTTGGTATATACTTGCCCTTTAATAAAACACTCGGTGTATAAGACAATCCCTGATTTTTAGGAGATACTCCTGGGTAAAAAGTTGTTTTACATGCCCACAGTTAAAAATTAAAACATGAAAAAAAATGATCCTCAAAAGATCCTTAAAAGTGTTAATTTTGATTACGTAAAAATATAAAGTTAGTGCGGCTGATTTTTTTTCTTCTCCTTCCTCCACTGGGCTAGTTGAACTAAATAAGGAAAGTAAATGCCTACATGTTGTCGATTCAGCTCTGCACATGTTTTCTCTGCCTCACCACAGCTCTCAACCACTGGAGTCCCCATAGCAAGCAGCAGCTCTTTGTACTGTAAACAAGAGAAAAATATAAAAACAAGGGACATAATCATTCTTATGTATATCTACATTTCAGCTTTAGTGCTGATCCAAAAAAGACATCACACTACATGGTTGAGGGGAGAGAACTTTGGTGACAAAGTGTGATGAGGAGGTGGGACTTTTTCTATTTAAAAAGTATTTTTTTCTGCTTTTACATAATTTCGATTTTTTGTACATCTAAATTATAATAATCTTGACTATTCAATTAATATTCTTGGGAAAATTTACTGTTTGAAGAAACCCAGAAAAACTGCAATTATGGGTTAGTTGAAAATGTATGGTAATTTGACATCATTTATGGACAACCACTAAGTCTTCTTTAAAAAATTCATTTATTTTAAAAAACATTTTGCCACCCAATTTCTGTGTGTATAGGTAAAACAATTGAGTACTATTCTGCTTAGCTAGTAACAGAATAAGAGTAATTATCTTTTTTCTTAGACTAGGTTGGTGGTTAGGTTTACTGACAAGGGTATGGCTAAGGAATGCTAGTTAATTAATGAGTTTTGTTAAGATCTGAGTTACGAGTAGCATTATTAACAGTATATAACTGAGCATTGTTTCTTCATATCAGGTTATATAAGACATTGTCAACAATTTGATATAAAATATTTTATTATTTTTATAAAATTTAACTTTTAATTAATTTTTTTTTTTTAATTGTACAGTTATTGTTTTATTAGCAAATAATTCTGTTACCTTAAGGGTTTTCTGGTAGAATATTTCTCTACATTTAGTCTTCTTTTTCAAAGCTGGAGGCGTAGGTCCATCCATAACAAATATAGGTATTATGCCAAGAGAAAGAAGGTTCTGTGTTTTGAAGAAAATTCCCCTACAGACAACAAATAAATAACATTATCCCAAAGTGATATGATTTTCATTAATGCTGCTCTAATTGCTAGAATAGAAAGTAAGCCTTCTCAGGCAAAATGGTGTTTAATATTTTAATGAGTTCATTTTTATTTCAGGTTTTAATGATTAAATAAAATCAGAGGTTATGCAGGGTGTGTTAAGGCTATGAACCCCAAAAGTGACAGCCGTCTCACATTGTTACATTGTGTTTACACTTGTGACATGTATACTATACATGTTCAGACAAAAAACACTTGAGTAAAATCTGGAAAAATGGTGTTAAGATATGCCCATTCTTTGGCAGTCTGCCTGGCTAAAAGGCATTGCTCAGGTCATTACATGCATATAAAAGAGAGCATAATTGCTTTGATGTTAATTATTTCCACACCTAAAACACAAATACTCCTCTTCCATTTTAGTGGACCCAGACTGCTTCACTTTGCCACACTGCAGTATCCATGCACTCAAGTCAATAGCCAACTTTTTCCCAGTGCACTCTGACAAGGTGGTGCATTTTTTAACTGCATTGAGCAGGGGCCATAAGCCAGAGACTCCCATTTTTATGGTTGATGTCAACTGTTTTATTCACATTTTCTGCTTTTAATCAGATCACCTCACTGAAAGTTAAAAGGATTTATATTATAGTTGTTTTTATAAATAACATGACATTTTAATTATATCATTAATATTAATAATATTAGCTGTACTACTAGTAAATAGTTTTTATTTTTACCTTTCGAACCTGACCGTTCATATGGCAAGTGAAATAGAGTTCACCTATGTTTCTGTGGGGTGACCTCGGATTATGAAGGGATAGTATGCTCAGCAGGGGCAAATAAAGTAGAGTTATGTTTCTGTGGTGTGACCTCGGATTATGAAGGGATAGTATGCTCAGCAGGGGCAAATAAAATAGAGTTCACCTATGTTTCTGTGGTGTGACCTCAGCCAGATTTTGGAAGGATAATGTGCTCAGCACCAACTAAGCCTAGCCAACTTTTCTTTGCCTAACATGAGTCAGATACCCATAAGAGGTAGGTGGACTTAGTATTTGTTTAATTAGTATAATTAGGCTACTATTATACTACTATGACAAATAGGGCCTACTATTTAAATATTAAAACACGAACCATAGATGAATGAAACATAGGCCTAAATGTTTATTATAATGTAATTTTCAGTAGCATGCCAAGGGGGAGGCATGGTTGAGTCGGTAAAAGCTCATGGTTGCTAAACTGAAAAGTCTTGAGTTGGAATCCTCAGGCAGATGAGGCTCATTAGCTGGGGTCAACCACCCTTCTTGGAGAGACAACTCCAAAATCAATCAACTGCTGCCTTGTAGTTTGTTCTTGGTTGGACAAAGGCTATGGAAGCAAATTCAAAAAGAAAAGCAGGCTGAAATCTGAATCAATGGCTTCAATGAGGCATAACCAGTTAACATGCAGATTTAGTTGTGCTGGAGGGGAGCCCTTCCAACACTAAAATTAAGAACAAAGAAGAAGTAGCATGCCTATAAAATACTATACATTACAAAAACAGTGATTACATAAACAGTGATTACATGTGTATACAACATTAATATTATTATACTACAGAACACAATGACAATAGTAATTAGTACTAATTTTAGTAATTAGTATAGTATAGAATATATATATATATATATATATATATATATATATATATAGGCCTATATATATATATATATATATATATATATATATATATATATATATATATATATATATATAGGGGCCTATATATATATATATATATATATATATATATATATATATATATATATATTATATATATGTATAATAAATATTATATATAGATTCTATATATCTATTTTAAATCATCAAATCTAAATATTAATTAATATAGGCCTATAGGCCTACAGTTTTAATATATATATTAATTTTATTATTTATAGAGTCTAGATCTAGATCTATACTTATTAAATATAGCCTAAAAGTAATAGATCTAGATCTAGTAGTATACAATATGTCTCAATATGTGAATATGATATAGTTAAATACTAAATAGGCCTAATATAGTTTAAATATAGTAGTAGTACTAAGTAATAAAATAATAAGTTAATAAGTAATTAAGTAGATCTACACATACAATTTTTAAAAAAAACTGCGGTTAGCATAGGTAGTCTATTATGTAGAATCTATCTAAATTACTAGATTTTAGTCTAGATCTAGATTCTAGATCTAGGTCTAGAATCTAGAACTAAAATAATGTTGATGTAGAATCTAGATCTAGATCTAGTACTGGGCTGCCTATTTTTTTTTTAGCATTAAGTTGTGGGAATGGTACGGCGGGGACGGTAGCTTTTCTTTGTACAAGTTAGAAATGTACATACACTAGTTAGTGACGTAAAGCACATTTGTTTATACTCGCAACAAGTAACAGCCGGCTAACGGCATAGCTTCTACTGATTACATACTTTGAGTCAAACACATTTTATTTATTGACTTGGTATGATCATTCTCTAACAGTATAACACCAATAAACAGAGAAGGTTTTACTGTGATAGTTCTAGATCTAGATCTAGATCTAGTAGTTTGTACATAGATCTAACTAATACTAGATCTAGGCCTAACTAAAATAAATTCAGTGACTCATCATCTCATCATCATCGGACTTCATCATCATGTCAAACAAACAAAAAATGACTATGGATTTATAATACTTACTCTTAGTATTACTTAGATCTATCTATACCATAGAAAAGTATAGATTTTTAATTATAGATCTGGACTGATTATAAACCTTTTCTACAATCTAATCTAAACATTATTGTTTAAAATTAAAATAAAAGCAATTAGTCTAGTTATTATTAGACTTAGAAAATTACTAACTTAGCCTACTACTAGACTATTAAAAAATTAGAGGATCCAGGTCCAAGGTAAATAAAACAAAAACATCTAGATCTAGCAAATATTAGGCCTACCAATAAAACAAGATCATAAACTTAAACAATGTATTGCTACATTTTGTCCTACATTTCTAAAAAAGTGCACAACTTATTTTTAAGGACATTTTATACTATTTTATAGACTTCTTTTGTAGCTATCAAATCTCAAATGTGATGTTGAGTTTGCTTTCAATTTGAGCTGACTGCCCAGGAATCTTCCATAAAAATACATTTGAAATTGACTTGAGAAACAACTTTTCATTAGTATTTTTGGATTATTGTGCTACTTGTGTCTAGCAATAGGGCCAATAGGCTCTTCTGAAGAAAAGATTCTTAGGCAGTTTATGTTGTATTATCAGGATTAGGTCTATAGCAGGACTAGGGTTAGAGATAAGGTTAACATTGACATTTGTAAGTTATAAGAACATTTAGTTTACTACCAATAATAAAATAAAAACAATTTTTATAATAAAATTCAAAAAGTTAATATAGGACATATTGTAAATATGTAATAAATAATGTAAGAATAAAAATATATTCACAATATATTATAATATAATGATAATAACATTTTTTTTCCAATTTAATTTACAGATTTTAGCTCTATCAATCATGAGCAAGCAAATCAGCCAAAAGACATTTGATGATGTCGTTTTAGAAAATATATCAGAATTTGATATGGAGGCTGAAGAGGCAGTCAAAGATGCTATACAACAGTTTGAATCTCAGGTAAGAATTTGTAATTTTTTCATGGCTTGATTGAGATACATATTGTTCCCAGTTCTGACAAACGGCAATGCTCATCAAGGTGCTGATAAACTGCAATGATTATCAAACATTGCTTTTGATTGAAACTAAGCACCCTATAATATTAATATTATGGCCATTTAACATTTTTATGTGTATTTATTAGTGGATCAAAGTGTTTTTAGCTTTATATTTCCAAGAATTACAAACAAAAGATGAGGTAAACAGTGATCCAACAATGGCATCAGTTCAGATGTTGTGTAATCAGTTCATTAGTTTCACTCACTAAAGAGATTTATGTTAGTAAAGTAAATAAAAAAGTTTGGCTAAACTTGATTTTAAAATTACACGGTCATTACATTATACTGTTTATATATCTTGTATGTATTCATGGTTTGCTATATTACAGTAGATGTTTTAACACATTGTTATAGTTATCATCCCTCAACACTCCTGCTGTAGAACAGACTGCCTACACCTCTATTCTTTCTTTGTCCTCACCCATTCTCTTTTTACTGCTTAATTTGAGGGTTCAAATTTAGTGTTTTTCTGGTGATATTTTTTACACAGCTATGACTTAAATTAATGATTACAACTTTGATCATTTAAATATTTAATGAATATATTAAATAAATACCATGTTTTATTGTTGCTCATAGGGTGTAAACTTGAACATCATTGTCAAGGACCCAGCACTTTATGCAGCAGGTGAAATCAAAGACCATCCAGTTGTTACTGCAATAAAAGAACTCACAGCTAGCCTGGAGAATGGATCTTGCTTTGACACTAAAATGGCCGATACTCTGAATACTATACAGAAAGAGTGTGATTCTGATCTCGCCCGAAGATGTCTTGCTGGCTCCAGTGGAGGCTATACTGCTTTATTTAAAGCACTTTCTGTTTGTGCAAATGACTCAAAAAACCTCAGTACAGTTTTAATAACATTTTGCTCTCTAGTAAATGGGCAGCCTGATTTAATTGACCAGGATGGCATAGTGCTTCTTATATCACTTCTAAAATTATATAAAAATGACACAGAAATCTTACAACATGTGATACGGGCAATCAGGTTGAACTGTGTAAAGCATGAAGGAAACAGACAAGCATTTGTTGAGCAAGAGTTGATCCTCTTGCTGACTGAGCTGCTGACAGTACACAAGTCAGATGCAACTATTATTAAAGAAACTGCCATTTGTCTGAGATCCCTGACCATGGACGATGATGTCCGAGTCCCTTTTGGCAAAGGTCCTGAGCATGCCAAGATGATTGTAACCGAGGGTGATGCTTTCAAGTCAATTTTACAGTTATGTGAGGGTAAGATGTGTGCATTTATTTCATGGTGATTATTTTTTAAACCAGCTTAACATTAAAAGATGCAGATTAGGTATGTAAAAGTTAACATAGTCTTAAAAATGCATCTAAGGTATATATAAAGGTTTAAGCATATTCTCTTGTGAGACAGCTTAGATATTTTAAATGAAAAACTATTGTGTAGTAATAGATCTATGTTAAACTGTATTCAGTTAAATTTATCATTAAAAATATCACCATACAACGTAGCTGTAATCTTTTCCAATACTGGTGGATATTTTTTAATAAGTTGGCGGAGTATTTTTTTTTTTACATAAAAATATTAAATGTATTTAAATAATTAAAGGAATTTTTTTTAAAATATTCTTTGAAAGGATTATTGAATTTATTTAATTTATATGCATTTTCACAACATATCTGCCTACAGTACCAACTAATCCTGTTTGTTTTAATGAAAATTTTCTTTTCAATTCAGAACACATAAAGAGCAACCCAGTACTGGCAGAGCTATTCCTCACCCTCAGTTGTCTGGCTGTGAGAGATGAGTTTTGTCAGGAGGTCATGGACAGGGGTGGGGTCAAGTTTATTATTAATGCATTCCGGAGTGCTTTAAATGATAGGGTGAGTACATATTTTAAACATTTTTAGCTTCCTAAAAATATAAAACATTAATGAATTCAGAGTGAATGTTTTTTCTTCAGAAACTGTTATTAAATATTTTTTTTTAATTTGCAGTCCATTGTACGCCAGGCCCTAATTGTTTTGAAGGCTCTTGCTGGCAATGACGAAGTCAAACATGAAATAGCCAAGCTGGGTGGGGTTGAGATTACTGTAGCAGCTATGAATGAACACCAGTCAAACTCTTCCATTGCTGAGGCAGCCTGCAAAGTGTTAACTGCCATCACACTTCGCAACACAGAGAACTGTTATAAAGTTGTCGAGTGCCAGGGCCATCAACACATTGTACAAGCTATGAAAATTCACCCAAAGGATGTTGGAGTGCAGGTAAAAAAAAATGGACTACATTGGATCGGGCGCTCAATGTAAGCTGCTTTTGGGAGTTAGAGAACAATGAAACAGTCTTTTTTTGTCACTTGAGTTATATGTATTATTTTCGATTATCTTTTAATATCTTGATTATAAGCACGTCTACATATACTTTCTTAAATTAGACAGTCTTTTAGAATTTGTATTTAAACTCTATCAGTAAATTTCCTATCTGTATTTTTTTTTTTGCAAACGATGTATAACAATATTAATTTATAATTATATTATGAAATCATGGTAATCATAGGTACCTTTATTGTTTTACTACTGACAGAAAAACGCCTGCATGGCACTAAGGAACTTAGTCTCAAGAGCAAGAGATTTAAATGATGTGATTTTGGCCCTTGGCGTGGAACAGCTGCTAAATGCAGCTATGAACCATCACGAGGAGGCTCATGATGAAGCCAAAGCTGCACTTCGAGATCTTGGATGTAAAGTTGAGCTGAAGGAGCTGTGGAAAGGGGAAAGAGGAACATTGCAATAACCTATTATATTTCACATCATATGTGTTTTTTAGGCCATCTTAAAACATTTCTTATTAAAAATAAATGTGTCAGTATCAAGTTTTATCTTGTCCGGTATCTTTTTTCATGATAGAATGTAGTTGACAATATCAGTAAATAATAGGAGCAAAATGTTCAGCCTGATAATGTTGCTGTATAAATTCAAAATCATAGTATCAGAAATTTGTTATAAGTTATTGTATATTTTAAATAAATTATAAAAAACAATAGCAGTTGGAAATGGATATAAAAAGGAAGTAGTTTTAACTAATGAGCTATATTTTAACCTATTGACTATTTATATATGTGTTCACTTCCTTTAAGTTAAATGTGTCAGATAATTTTGATTAATTGCTGAGTTAATGTGTTTGTTCACAATGTTGGACAAACCTCAACAACATGGATAAAGATTCAGTGTAATCTAAAATGCATGTTATAAAAATATTAGTAATATCATTCATCAAATAAATTTTCTCCTTTATGGTCAGATCTTTTGGGAGCTGGACATTACTCCCCCAACCATGACCAGATAATTGTCTTTATATTGAACCCTAATAGGGATATGATTGGGGATGGGGTTAATGATAATAGGGTAAGGTTTGATGGAACAAGCTTATCCTGCACTTCGCTAGTTTTCCGGGAGACATATATTCTTTAAAATGCCTAGAGATTGTACAAAACAACTTCTTTGTGCTCTGTGCACCCATTTCAGGCATTTAATAGGTATTATGATGGGGGGGGGGGGGGGTGATTGATAGTAGCTGAGTCAGACATATCAAAAACAAACTACATTACAACAAGGGTAGCAGGGTAATGTCCTAGACCCCGATCTATGTGTTCCTGTAGAAAAGTCAGACATACCATAAACAAACTACATCACAGCTTCCTGTCAAATTTGTTTTTATTTGATGTGAAATTGCATAGATAACAACAACAATGTTAGCATCAACCTGAGAGTTATTAAATGCTCATTTTACAAAAACAATCCTGATGTGCTTTAAAATTTTTAATTCCTCTGAGAGTTATACTTCCCTTTTTCTACTACAATATATAAATGTAATATTTTTAAAATAAAAAAGCATGAAGTGGCATATGCAGGATTTTGTTATGAGGGAGAGTTTTTAAAAATGTCATATATATATATATATATATATATATATATATATATATATATATATATATATATGCCTACACAACCTTTCGATACTAATAAACCAATATTTTTAAGTACATATAATTGTTATATAATTTAAAATTTTGTAATGAGAGTGAGGCAAAAAAAGCAGGTTAGAGCCAATAGCAATAAGACTTTAGGGAGGGGGTGTAACACAAATGATCTAGTCTACAGTGCTTTGCTGATAAACCAGCACAAGATAATGGGTAAAAGCTATGGACAAAAAAAAATGAATATTTTACACAAACTTATACTTTTTATAACATGTTTTATAACTTTTTTTAAAAAAAGTGTTCTTTAAACAATATTTTGGACCCATTCTCTTAATTAAAATTGATTATGTATAAAATGGCTCAAACCTTTTCAGCCAAGGCCTGTTCTAGATTTTAAATGTGTTTTCATCATGTAAAGCAGGTGTTGCATTAATATGGACAAGCTCAATAATTACTGTAACATAAAGTGTCAGTTTAGTAGAACAATGCAAGAAACCAGGTGGATTAATTGTAAAACATGTCAAATCAAACACAACATTAATACAATTTATAACAGCAACAAAAAATTCTTGGCGTTAAAAGAAAAAAAACTGCATTAAAAATGAAAATAAACATAATTTTAACATGGGAATTCAGGCTCATATCAACTAGAGTAAAAAAAAACCCAATCACACTTGTTCAGAGCAAAAACAAAAAGAGAACACACCTGTATTATGCACCAATTTTATAGTAAAAATTAAAGTGACCATAAATAAGTACCTTCTTAAAAATTATAACAGTTCAAAAGCTAAGTTATAATACCTGTAATAAAATCTGATTTAAAAAGTTAAATTAAATGATGTATTCATTAAAATATATAAAATAAATGGATTTCATCAATAAACAATAGTCAAGATAAAAAAGGAGTTTTTATACAGTGGAATCACAGTTGTGGTATAGTCACATGGTATTTTGCCCAAAATAGAGGGAAATTGATCATGGATTTAAAAAAAAAAACAAGAAAAATATGTTTTTAAATTTGAATAATATATTTAAATTCATTATTACAACTTGTGTAGGCCTACACAAAAAAAAAATATCTGTCATAGTAAAGAATTTCTTTCACTAGAGGCTAAAATGTTGTACATCACATTTTTTTAAAAAAAGTAAAGTAGTACAAATTATGCATTATTTTGACCCTTAAATCAGACATGACTTCAATTTATTCTATGGGATTGTTTATTACTAGCGTAGACTGAAAAAATTCTATGACAAATTCAATATTTTTGTTACTGGGATTTTCAACTTCATATTTTAATTATTATTTTGTTTCATGTGTTTTTCTATGTAAATTTTAAAGTTTTGTAAAGTCTTGTAAGAGCATTAACAGCTTGTCTTGAATTGGCTAATCCAATTGCAGCTAGCAACATAAAATAAGCAAACATTAGCAATGGAAACCTATATTCTCTTAGCCATGAGTGGGAAGATGACATGTTTGTGGATCTGGAATTTAAAAAGAAATAAAAAAAACATTAGCAAATTTGTATAAGATGGCTAGTAAAAATTATATCGTATTTGTTTAAGCAGTCACTTTCTACCATGCCATCCCCATATATATATATATTTGTATGAATATTCAATACACTTACACTGCTGGAGCAACATTTTCCCTATAGACAAGTAAGTATTTAACACGAATAACATCATTGTTCTGCACAACGTAGTACTTCTCTGGTACATCATCTGTTATTCTGGAGGCTCTGGCTCGTTGTTTCTGTTGTGTGGCTGTTCCTGATTAAGCATTTATACAAATAAACTTTTGTTTAGAATTGTGGTTGGCAAAAAGTTCATTTTGGTTTTTTGAGAGCATAATAAGATGCAAATTAAACAAGTCAGAGATTTCTTTTAACATATAAAGTTTTACTAGCATTATTGAAATTTTTTTTAGGTAAAACAATTTTTACAGAGTTGTATTGTGGACATGTACATAAAGTATTTGTTTTTAATCCAGCTGTAACAAGTCAAGAAATCAGAAGTTAAGTAGTAACATGTAATGCAACCCCTTAAATGGTTTAAGCATGAGAAAATTTTAAAAATGTCTGTTTAAAAAAACTGGCCAGCCTGATTTAGAAAGATCCTTATCAAGTTTAATTTTGATCTTTTAAATGTGAAACCAATTTTAGACCTACCCTCTTTTATCTGGCACTTAACACTAGGATGGTCAATCATCTGACAGACAGCTACACATGAAAGTTTGACCCCCAGGGCACTGCTCCTCCATCCTTCACCAGTAGGACTATAGATAAGAGATACAGAAAGCTCACTAGAGAGATAGGTGCCTTCTCCAAAAACAGAGACCTGAAGAAAAATACAAGTGTGGTAAATAATTCACTTAAACCATAAAGATCACATCCGTAAATGCTTTAAAAAAATATGTCAGAGATATAAAAAAGGACCTGTGAACAAATACTTACTTTATTCAAATGAGCATTAAGGCCATTGTGTAGGATAGAATAGAAGTTGTCTAACCGACTGCCATGATATGCATAAAATGTCTTGCTTGAGCCTTGCAAAAGCTTGAATTTATTATCTCGCTCTTCACTAGGGATAACTTCAAAAATATAATTTGGTTCAGATGTATCCATTACCTGTCCAGTGAGTTCCTTGATAGTTTTGAACTGTAAATGCAAGAAAAAAATATAACCCTCTTGAAATAAAAATGAGAGTACTATTTATTTTAGGTTAAATAACAATATTAATCAGAAATATTTTAAAGTGATTATTTTAAAAATTAAACAACTAAAATTTAAATTAGTTAATTAGTTGATATTTATATAAGCAGATTTATGATTTAATTCATACACCATTTTCTTTATCACAGAGTTTTAATTTGAAGTGTTTTGTCTGAAGAACCCAGGACAGCAGTTTTTGAGAATCTTTGTCCATGTTCAATAAAAATTCAGAATTTGGAGATAAAGCTGGAACTCTTGAAATAGCATCTTTCTGTTGAAAGTACAAACACATGGTAAGTTTCAAATTTTAAATGAATAATTGTTCTTAAACATTTTTTAAATGATAATTTAACTGGGATATTTATTTTGAGACAGACATTTCAGGTTCAGGAAGTGTAACACAATTAACCAGGTAGGCAGTAAACTCAGATCATAAACTAGCTGGGTGGGAGGAACTCCTGAAAATACTGTACTAGTAGCTAATGTGTAACATGTAATAAGAATAATTACCAGTCCAAACATATTCTTCTCTTCTTCGTTGTTTGTGGAGTACATGGGTGGAAATGGGTGCAAAATTGAAGTGAATCTGTAGCTCCTGGCTGCTGCTACAAACAGACTCCATAGCATATCACATCCAAGAATTTCATTTTGAAGCTGGGTTGCCACAAGTAATTCATTTTCACTTTTTATGTCTTCTGTATTTCCAGTCATAGCTGACTGACTATTTATAAACTATGATTTAAATCTTTATAAAAATTTACTTGAACAGTTGTGCATATCATAAAACAATATTTTCTATGTTGCATCCTGGAATGAGTAGATCTGCCATCTGTTAAAATATTTCCTAAGTTGGAAAAAAAAGATTTTATTAGCCTATTAAAGAACATATTACAGGCCCTAAAAAATAAAAACACATACATATTTATGCAAAATTTTGTCTAAATTTTATTAATAGGCCTTATGATAGGCATAGTTGTTATAATATTAAGTATTTTGCTGTTAGTGTTTAGCCTCATAATTAACATTTTCTATTATTAGTATTAATTAGGCTAGTAATACTAGTTAGTATTAGCTCTATTTATTAATAGTACAATAATATCATTTAATATGCTCTAATGATTATAAAATAATATGCCAACTTGATATTAGCACACACAAAACAATTCGTTTACAGTTTACATTTACCTAGCCACTAAAAATATTCATATTGTGTTAAGAGTTAAGACTAAGCCATGACTAAACCTAAGGCAAGGTCTAACACTACACTAAGGTCTAAGTCCTACCTAAGGTAAAGTATTAAGTAATGTAAGTAGGCCTATAGTTATAGTATAGTAAGAGTTAACTTTATTTCTAACACTTTTTTTATTTAACAGTCTGAGTGACAGTCTACTATAGTTAACACTTAACACTACCTACACTAACACTAAGTGTTAACTTAAAGTTAACACTTAACAAAAACACTGTTAAGTGTTAATTAAGTGTGTTTTTGTACTAGGTAATCTATCGTTTTAGGTACGTAAAATCGTCCGCGACTTGTAATGTGAAAAACAGGTGACTCCTTAAATTTTAATAATTATTTCACAAGTTGAGGAGGATTTATGTTTTGAAAAATACAAAAATGTTTCCTTGTTTCATTTATGTACTTTTTTTTAAACAATTGAATTCAAACGTTTCAGTAATAAATGAAGACTAGCAAGTAGCAATGTTTCCAACAGATGCAACCATGCTCATTTACTATATTGTTTATTTTTTTACTGTAAACTTTTAGCGCAAGATTCAGGGGAAGCCACTCTAACTTACAGATGGCGGCTTTTTATATAGCAAATCCTGCTCGCAAACACTGCTGTTTAGAGTTGATTTCTTGCCTGTATTGATATTTTGAGCCATTGATTAAATGATTTAGGTTTATTATTCATTTATCTATAATATTTGACACAAATATATCACAATATACGGTAATCTATCGTTTTGGGTACGTAAAATCGCCCACGGCTATTTATGTACGAAAACGTTACCTCATTGTCAAGGCTTTAATAGAAGTACTTTGTCATACTTTTGTGTCAAATATTATAGATAAATGAATAATAAACCTAAATCAATGGCTAAATATATCGATATAGGCCAGAAATTAACTTTAAACAACAGTGTCTGAGAGCAAGATTTGCTATATAAACAGCAGCCATTTGTAAAATAGAGTGGCTTCCCCCTGAATCTGGCGCTAAAAGCTTATAAAAATAAAACTTAGACAAGATGGCTGCTATAGTAAATGAGCATGGTTGCATATGTTGGAAACATTGCTAGTCTTCATTTATTACGGAAAAGTTTTAATTCAATTGTTTAAAAACATGTACATAAATGAATTAAGGAAACATTTTTGAATTTTTTAAAACATAAATCCTCCTCAAAATGTGAAATAATTATTAAAATTTAAGGAGTCACCTGTTTTTCACATTACAAATTGCGGGTGATTTTACGTACCCAAAACGATAGATTACCCAATAATATACTTCTATTAATGCCTTGACAATGAGTTAATGTTTTCGCACATTAATAGCCGCGGGCGATTTTACGTACCCAAAACGATAGGTTACCTTTGTACTCACACACTGTATGAGTGTTAGCTGTTACCTTCACTGTAGTGTTAACAGTTACAGTCTCAGACTGTAACTGTTACAGTACAGTGTGTGTGGTAAAACTCCATTTCAGCGTATTTTATTCTCCGTTGCTTGTTTACCTCCAGTTGAGCGTATTTTATTATAACAACCGAAACACACCAAAACATTAGGAAAACAAGATTTATTTTTTGTATTGTATTTTTGTTTTAGCAAATGAATAAAAATGAATATTTAAAAAAACACGACTTGTTTATTTGTATTGTATTTTTAAAAAAAAAAGGCATTTGTCTCATGGTGAAACTGATACACTGTTAATCTTTCTGTTTTATATTTTTGTATTTATGCAATAAATGTACAAACTCTGTGTTTTTTAATTTGACTGTTTTGCTAAAACTGAAAAAACATTTTTACTCTAGAGTTGTATGTTATTTAAATTCATAGTAAATCTACCATCCTTCCCTTTTTTGTATGAGTAAATTTCTGACTTTTAAAAAAAAAAATGATGTGGGGTCGTCCATAAATGACGTCACACTCGTAAGGGAGAGGGGGGGTCAGCAATTTTGTGACGGCGTGTGATGAGGGGGAGGGGGTGGGGTTTCAGATGGTGTGACGTCCCTTTTTTGCATTATAAAAAAGCAATGTTAGAAAAACAAGTTTTAGCCGTTATTTCGCGTTTTAGAAAACGGTTTTGATAAATTGTAATATGAATTGATCAAAATACTCTGTTGACAGAGTTCTGACAAGATTTTGGAAAAATTATCGATGTTTTAAGAAAAATTCAACAGAAATTTTGAGGGGGGGGGGGGGGTTGTAGGCTGAGGTGTGACGTCATTTTAGGGGGGGGGGGGTCTGACTTTTTGTGACGACGTGTAACGGAGGGGAGGGGGGGAGGTAAAAATAGTAAAAAAGCGTGTCGTCACAAAAAGCAAGACCCCCCCCCCCCCCCCAAATGACGTAGCACCATCTGAACCCCCCCCCCCTCATCACACACCGTCACAAAATTACCCCCCCCCCCCTACGAGTGTGACGTCATTTATGGACGACCTCTAACATTATTTTTTTTAAAATGACAACGTGAGTTGTCACACTTTCTCTAACACTCCAAGCCATCCCTCACCAAATTCCACCCCCCCCCCCCGGCCCACTTTCGGCAGCATCATTGTGCCTTTTAATACTTTTATTCAGTTTAGTTGAAATTGGAACACTTAATTGTACAAAGTGTGCATCTCTATTTTTGTAACCAACAAACAAAGCACTTCAGTCAGTCTCTTTGTTGTTTTTTATTCATTTGTTAAAACAAAAATACAATACAAATAAATAAGTCGTGTTTTTTAAACATTCATTTTATTCATTTGTGAAAACAGAAATACAATACAAAAAATTAATCGTGTTTTCCAAATGTTTTGGTGTGTTTCGGTTGTTATAATAAAATACGCTCAACTGGAGGTAAACAAGCAACGGAGAATAAAATACGCTGAAATGGAGTTTTACCGTGTGTGTTACAGTTGACAGTGTAGTCTGGTAATGAACTTACAAGAAAATGAAAAAGTCTTAAACTTCAACCTATTACTATAATTATAGTACTATAACTATGATGTTCTAAAGCAAAGCATTTAGATCTAGATCTAGATCTAGTTCTATAAGTTTGTATTAGTTTATAAAGTTTAAAGTTTACACTTTACAGTGTTACACTCGAATGATTTGGATAAGGGATGTGGATGTTTACCAATATTGCCAGATAAATATACAAAATTTTGTTTGAAATTGTTGATTAGTTTATTTTTCTCATACTGCTGATGGCTGAAAGTTGGGTTTTTTTCAACTATAAGTAAAATATAGATCTATATTGAAAGGCCTACTAATTTTTTTCTTTAGATCTATTATAGATTCTATAAAGATCTATTTTTCAGCGTATTGATTCTCAGCTAGTACAAAATCCGTTAAATCTTGTGTGCTGTTTGGAAGTATGAAATAGACTTCAATGGGGAGATGCGGGCTTTAAGTGAAGCCTGTCACATTCAGAACAATTATCTAGCCCAGTAATAGAACCTTAACCCTGCTAAGGCAGAAATTACCAGGAATTTAACTTAAAAAATCAGGTACACCTATTTTTCTACTTATCACGTATTTTCAACACCGGAGTAACTGAAGAAATGACAATTCACCACTAACTATCTGTAACAGCGATTTAAAAAAGATATTGACACGACACTTCGAAAAACAAAAAAAAATCCCGGCGCCCCTTTAAAAACCCAAAACAAATAATGGCGCTTTACTTCAAACACAAAGAAATAGTCACCGCGCCTCTTCTGAAAAAAATAATTCTTGGCGCCTCCCCACCCGCCACCCACTATCAGCCAATTACAATATTTTTTTACTACCCATACGTTTATTAAATATTTATTAGAATTCAGACAACAAATATTGGTCTTAAAGTCAAAGAGATGAACCGTTACTATACATAGAACTAAATAAAAAGTAATTAATTAAGTATTAACTTTGGACGATATTATAGATCTATCTATAGATATCGGACAGGGGTCATCCATAAATAACGTCATCCTTTTTTTGGATGATTTTACCTCCCCCCTCCCCTCCGTCACACATCGTCAAAAAAAGCCAGAACCCCGCTCCTTAAAATGGTGTCACATCTCAGCCTACAACCCCCCCCCCCCCTCAAAATTGCAGTTGAATTTTTCTTAAAACATCGAAAAAATTTCCTAAATCTTGTCTGAACTCTGATCATAGAGTATTTTAATCAATTCCTATTACAATTTATAAAAACAGTTTTCTAAAACGTGAAATAACGGCTAAACTCGTTCTCTAACATTGCTTTTTTATAATGCAAAAGTGTGACGTCACACCATCTGAACCCCCCCCCCCTCCCCTTCATCACAAACTGTCACAAAATTACGCCCCCCACCCCCCACCCCCTCCAAGTGTGACGTCATTAATGGACTTAACATGAAGACAAGGTAAAATTAAATTGCATTAAGCGAGGATTGTAGTTTTGTAGACAACCCTAAGTATAGCCGTGACTTATAGTTGAGCCATCACTTCCTATTTAATATCATATTTAATTAGCTTCAACTATGATCTGCTGTAGGCCAACTGTAACCAGAGCCGGCGTTAAGGGGTGGCGAACGGGGCGGTCGCCATAGGCCCCGCGCTTGAAGGGGCCCCGCGCTTGAAGGGGCCCCGCGCTTCAGCAATGTCATTGTTATCTGAATTAGTTCGTAAACTTAAAAAAAAAGTGTTGCTGAATTCAATTGGGAAAAACTAAATGGTCGAATGCCGACGTTGTTGATTGTTATAACTGAGACCATGGTGATGTTAGTGAGTAATCACCCACTGAACTGGGACAGGCCGTAATTCTATACAAAAAACAGTGTCACACACCTCCCCTTTGTGTAGGGTACGGTCGCCGGGCATTTGACCTGAGCTGACTGGAGATGGCGATCGAGAATTAGCCCACGACGTAAAGAGATACCCTATTGTATGCGGACCGATGAAGACGTCCTTTTAGTGAGCAGACGGGATGTCTATAGTAGACAGTTAGTGACCTGATGAACTCTAGTCCTGACTTTCTTGTTGTAGATGTCGTATAATGTCGTATATGTACAGTGTTTCTTCCAGACTTTTTTCTCCGGGGGGGGGGGGGCACTTGAAATTTTCGGGGTGAGGGGGCGGTAGACTTTCAGACTTTCTTCGGCGGGGGGGGGGGGCGGACACTGTTAAATAAAAGTATATATTTTCTATATAAATTATATAAATTTCATTTCGTTTTCGAAGAGATGCCTGGAAGAAACTCTATATGTAGGCCTACTTGTCTTGGTATAACAAAATTAACATTCAGTTGCGTGCAGAGGGGTGGGAGGAGGGCGACGAGGGGGGGGGGGGAGGCCCTTAGGATCTATATCAGGGGCATTAAACAGAGCGATTTATTATTATTTTTTGGAAGAAAGTTAAAACTGTTGTTATGTTGTGTCACCTTAAGGATTCACCCGTTCAATAATTAAGACAATGATGATTTTGGTTTTAAAATATTGTATGAATTCTAAAAAAATTTTGAAGTCTATACTGTTTTGATACATCAGGCCGAGTTAGCTGTATTGTAAACTTTATTTTCCTAATTATTCGGCACGTGATTAAATTTTCTTAAGTGATTTGGTATGAATTACATAACTGTCAAAAGTGATTTAATATCTTAGCAAAGGAAAAAAAAAAACTACGAACATTGGGTTAATACATGGGAGAGATAAAAATCTGTTATTATAGTGAAAAATTTGACATTAGCTTATAAACTCCAAAACATTTGTGTTATTGTGTGTACATCACATTATATAGGCCTTTATATATATATATATATATATATATATATATATATATATATATATATATATATATATAATGGAAAGGCCCCGCGCGGATGGTTGGCCCTAGGCCCCGCGTATTCCTAACGCCGGCTCTGACTGTAACCCAATGCAATCTAATGTTACTTGTTCTTGTATTTACTGTTTAAGTCTTCATGCAATGTAGCATCCAATAGTAAAGTTCCTCTTTCGGACCTGGCGATCCATAGGACAGATGAAGTAGAGTGTATCTGTTTCTTGACAACGGAATATAAAGAGTTAGTGTGGTCAGTGCTATTCCCAGCCGCTTTTGCTTTCCTTAACTTGAGTCAGGTACGAATATCTCCAGTAGTCATATAGCCTGTTTGTTGGATATTGTATCAAATTCACCCATCCATTGGGAGGTGAATGACCTATTCCAAGTTTTCATACAAAATCCAAATTCAAAATCTTTTGCCTGTATCTTTATAGCCTCATCACTCAACTATCATCTTTAAATCAGTATAGAGTGTATATTTATTTTATGCTATAGACTAAATATATGTAAATTAGCACAAAACGATGAGAAAACTATCTTTAATCATAGACTTCTCATTATTCAGTCTTAAAATATATTTTTTTAAATCAGATTTTTACTCGGATGCTCAGGTTGTGAAAACAGGCCGGTAATTTTATTTTTTAAAATCACGTTTTTAGTTGTTTTTTTTTAATGCCACCATTAAAATGAGAACATTTGAACCTGGCCAAAATCCTTTGATCGGGATGTAAAAAAAAAACAGTCTTTGATATCCAAGTGCCAGAGTTAACTAGGTAACTGGCTAACAAATTGGAACGTCCGTTTGAAACGTCAGGTAACTGGTTCCGTCTCGCTAATGAAGTCTCTTAAGGCTTCCGTGGTTTCTGTATAATCTAACATGCACTCACACATACACGATCACACACATACTATATACACACACACACACACATATATATATATATATGTCTGTCTGTCTGTCTGTCTGTCTGTCTGTCTGTCTGTCTGTCTGTCTGTCTGTCTGTCTGTCTGTCTGTCTGTCTGTCTGTCTGTCTGTCTGTCTGTCTGCACAAGCCTGCCAACCTGTTTGTGTACTTTGTGTTTATTACTTTCTTATTCTAAAAAAGCTGCTTCTAATTATCAAAAACCTTTAAACATCAGGCTTGTGAAGAACTTCTGCATACACAAGTAAACAAGAAAATTCCTTCTTTAGCCACTGACATAACTTTGGCACCGTGCCATAATCAGTTCTACTGACGGTCCACCAACATTCTCTTCTAATATATTTTTATCTTTGAATAAAACCACATGCTATAACTTTGCAGCGGTTGTTTTTGCTGCTGATTTTGTTTTTAGGAAAACAGAAAGGTACCTGACTTGGGGAAAGTAAAGGCGGACGGGCAAGGTGCTGACCAAACAATCCCTTAATATGCCCGGGTCAAGAAACGAATTCTACTTCATCTGTCCTATGGACCGCTAGGACTAAAGATTTTTTTTCCTCTCCGTAGCTACGCCTCTGTGAACAGCAAGATTTCAAGCCCATTAGACTTTTAAATCCGTATTTTAATAAGTCACTAGTAAAATTACATATAGGCCAACAACAATTACTAATTCTTACTTTGTTCCATTTTTTTTCATAACCCTGTAAATAAATATCACATTAGTAAAATCCCCCCCTCCTCCCCCCCCCCCCCCCTCCCCTCTCCCGGAGAAAAAAATGTCTGATAGAAACACTGGATCTGTGCAATCAAGCAAAAAAGTAATATTCAATACATATTGGGGTCGACGTGGTCGAGGCAGTAAAAGCTCATGATTGCTAAACCGAAAAGTCTCGAGTTCGAACCCTCGGTCAGATGAGGCTCGTTAGCTGGGGACAGCCACTCTTCTAGGAGAGACAACTCCAAAATCAAACAACTGCCGCCTTGTAGTTTGTTGTTTGTTCTTGGTTGGACAAAGGCTATGGAAGCAAATCCAAAAAGAGAAGTAGGCTGAAATCGGAGTCAATGGCATCAATGGCGCATAACCAGTTGACACGTATACTTAATTGTGTTGGAAAAGGGTAGTTAGATAGGTAAAGCTCATGGCTGCTGAACCGATCCCTTCCAACACTAAAAATTAAGAACGAAGAAAAAGAAAGAAGAATGCATATTGTTTTACAACGTGCTAGACAATGGTGCATCAGACTAGTTATTGTGAAGCCGGTCTTGTTTCTCTGGATTCAAGAATAGGGTATCAATATCGGCACAAACGCCTTAATGTG